TAAGCCCGGCTTCCGGCGAAGCTGAGCATCGAGAGAGACAGTTTTTGAGGGATGCAACGTGCGTTGCAGTGTTTTACAAGAGCAACAATTATCTTTACTCTTCGCATGGTTGTTAGGCGAATAAGAAACACGATTTACCATGAAAAATTAAGGGATGGAGATATTTTTCAGGAATAATTGGCAGAGACAAATTATTAGCTGAATGATACACGGAGTTTAGGATGAGGAAAGAGAAATGAGGGGATAAAGAGATGAAAATATTTTTCAGGAATAATCGAGCCATTTAAAAGGCAAAGTGTGAATAATTGGCAGAGAGAAATTATCAGCTGAATAATACTTCAGTGGATAGAATTACTCCCACAAATATTTGGACACTGACAGAACAACTGTTCACACACTTTTAGTATGTTACAATTTTTACAATTGAAAATATAAATTTTTGAAGATATTTATTAAAATTGACACATTTTTTCTTCAACACGTTGATCGCCACGTCACCCATATCTGGGTGACGGCTATGTTTCCGTGGGGGCCCGTCACCCGTAATTCTTCGTCCAATTAAACAGGATTTTTGGGGTAATTTATAATAATTTTATTTGTAACGCAAGTATTTAATGGAATTAGCACATGCAAATGAAAACTATACGAAACGACGAAACTGTATAATATAAAGTAAACAAATCAAAGATATACATATACTTATACTATATTTAAATTTGTTTTTAAAATAATATATAACGTTTTATTAGTTACGATGGTATTCTGGTGACTTTGAACACTTAGGACAATACGTTATAGTCTTTTGTAAATTTTCCCTTGCAACGCATTGCATCGTATCGCTATTCCAGCTAATTGCGCTGTTTACACTCCGAGTATCGGATTTGGGCCCCGGGAGAAGCTCTACCGATTCAACGCTGGGCGATCAACGTGTTAAGTACAGATAACTTTACACTTTTTACATATTTTCTACAAAAAGAAGAAACTAGTTTTATAGAAACGAGGCATATTTTCGTTATGGCATAATAACGAAACGAACATATGCCCAGTTGTTATTTATAGCTTTAGACGCCTACATACTGATATTCCCACTATCATTGTGTTAGTCAATGCCAACAGTAGATTAGGTTATCTGTCGTTTGGAAAACTCGTCTATAATCAGAGCCTCTGTTTGAAGTATGATATCCTCGAGAACAGAGTCGTTTATGGAAATTAGTGAAACGTTCTAACTCCTTCAACTGATAGCTTACAAATTCACTATTTCTCTCTTCAAAAGCGATTTAACGAATTTTACAAATATACTCGCAAAAGTCTCATTTTCCAAAAAGAAAGAACCGAAAAAATCAAATTTGCTTTAAAATTAAAAAGAAATAGGTATATTAATTTCAATTTTGTTAACGTCGAGAAGTTTAATTTCATTTTCCAGAAAAGAAACAAAAACGAAAAAATCCAACTGCTTTGGAACTAAAAAAAGTAAGTATATTAATTTGAATTTTCCTAATATCGAGAGGTTTACTTTCATTTTCCAAAATGAGAAAAAATCAAATTTGCTTTAAAATTAAACAGAAATTGGTATATTAATTTCAATTTTGTTAACATCGAGAAGTTTAATTTCATTTTCCAGAAAAGGAACAAAAACGAAAAAATCAAATTTGCTTTCGAATTATAAAAAATAAGTATATTAATTCGAACGTTGCAAGTAACTATCTTTCGTATCGAGAAGTTCAATTTCAATTCCTGAAAAAGAAGAGAGAAACGAAAAGATCGAGTCTGCTCTAGGATTTGCAAAAAAGCAAGTATATCAATTCGAAAGTTACTAATAACGAGAGATTTACAATCACTTAAATATCGCAATTGTAACATCAATATGGTCTTCGCAGGGCAAACGAACCGAGTGACAAATGTGTGCTTTTGTGCAACATTGTGCAACACCTTCACCAGATTTATCTTCGTAACTTGTCTCACATGTTAAATGAATTTTCGCTCAACGCATTGTGGACTCGTAATTACGCAATTGTCAGACAATGAATTCTGTTTATTTTCCGAGATTAGTATTCACGGTGAAGCGACTTTTGACGTAAAAAAAAAAAGAACCTTTTCAATCTGTATTCGATATTTCGTACAAAAGATAACGAAATGCGTTTCTTTCGGTAAATTGCAGAAGAAAAATCCGTTTCTTTCCGTCGATTAATCACACTCTGGACAAATATTAACACTTTACCGACCGGTAGCCTATTAATCGGCTTTTTGCCGCTAACGCTTACCGACCGGTAACCTGTTAATCGCTTTTTTACCGCCGACGCTTTTCGACCGATAACCTACTAATCGGTCAAAGTTTGATTAAACATTTCTATAGGTATAAGAAAAAGCGCATATATTCCTGCGCGATAGCCTAGAGTCTAAACAGAGTCGGTGTCAGTGATGTATCTGTGGCCGAGTGAGCGGTCGGAAGTGCGTAGGATGGTCAACCGCTACCGGTCGGTAAAGTGTTAAGTAGAGTAGAGAAGAATCGAAAGAAAATTGTTTATTACAATTTTTCACCGTCTAATCGATCTATTTTGGTTAATAATAAGACTCGAGTGGTAGGATAAAATGCACGTTACATAACGAGCAGGATGCAGTCAAAAAACTAGGGTAACTGTCAATTGCTAATGATGAGTTTAATGTCTTGTAGGCGTTGCGTGGACGGTGTGTACACACATCCAATAAATTAACGGAATGTTTAGCAGAGCCGTCAATTAAGGGATCGTTTGTTACGAAACAGTAAGTCGAAATTAACGTGGAACACTGTGAATATGCAACAAATCCTCTTTATTTCTTTTGGCAATTCGACCGATGTGTAATCTGAACTCTGCTGAAATTCTGCCGGAAATATATCTAGATTACCCACCACGTGTTTCATTTCCAAATCTGAATATCATGGACCGCTAAATTCTTCGTTATTAAATGGAAATTCTGTGCTCTTTAAATCACAGTTTTTCAATGTTTCTCTTAAATTTGCTTATTTACTCTTTTGAATGTGATAAATTACTGCGAAACTTAGGCTATGCGCATGAAAAACTTGAAATTTCTCCGTTAAGAATTTCTTTTTTCCTAGAAATCTATGCATAAAATAAAAAAATCCTGAAATCACAATTTAAGAATCTCT